ATATATATATATACATATAAATATACACACACACTCAGTATATAGGTCTTTAAAATTCATCATCTTTACCTATTGCTGAAAGTCACATTTGTGTGTCTGAACCACTGGATTGTAATAAAGCATCACCATATCTGCATCTACAACTAATTATCTTTTGGAGCCAATCCAATTCAAGATGGCTGCCTCAGCCAACTGACAGTAATGCATGTGTGTATTTTCTCCCACACACCAAAAACATATTAGAGGTTATATTAAGTTAATTGGTAAACTCTAAACTGTTACATGGAAACTGATGCACACACTCCTAGAACCAGGTAATTGCTGATGTGAACACAGTCAGTGTGTGTCAGTTAATAGACATTAAGGTGGAGGGCTGGTGAGAAGATCAAAAGTTTCTCCGTCTTAAGACAGTGACCCAGTGTTAATGAAGGAAGTACCCGACAATGTTATCCTCTGACAAAGATTAGCAAAGAGTTAGAGTTAACAGGTTTAGTGGCATGCTCAGCTTGTTGCTAAGAAACTACTAGAGTCTGAGTTTTAAAAAAAGGCAATTTAATATGAAAAACTAAGCAAATGACAGAGCAGAAACTATTTCCCATCACAGCAGTTCAAGGAAAACTCGTAAGAGTGCGAAGTGGCGTAGATCAAATATTCCAAGTGCCTGTAATGAGGAACAGAAACAGCAAGCCTCGAGGACACTTCAAATCAGAAGAAATTACACTGCTTTCTGTAAAAAGATGAAATCAGCAATTTCCAATAACATCAACTCAAAAATGTTCAGTTAGAAGCCTAATTTTAGACAAGTGTAAAAGTTAGACCAGAAAACACATGTATGGAAAGAAACTTTATTAGATAAACCCCTGTAAATACGTAACCAGCATTTAGGTTTTTTTTGCAACAATTGAGCAAATATAATATTAAAAGATTAAAAAAAAGTTATTTTTTATGGCAGCCGCCTTATTGTAGACACATAATACCATAACCATAACCCACCCCCTCAGTCCTAATACAGTTTAATCAATAACTGGACACAGTACTGACATTCACACGTACACACATTGCATACTCATTATTTCAAAAACCAACCTTTAATTTAAATAAATTGTGTTATTAATAAATATGAAGCATTTTATCAATAAATGGGAGAACAGTTTTGTCAAAGGGAAAACGTCATCTGCGATGTTGGTGCGTATGTGCCCAGTTAAGGAACGGCATTTAAATGCACAGAATATAAAAAATCTGGATAATATCAACACTTTAATAGATGAGCACAGAAATGTATTCAGCCTTTACAGTCAACAAGTGATGTTAGGATGTATAAATATAGTTCTAAAGTGCATCTGTTAAAAGACTTGTCAAACAAAGTCAACAGCAATCCTATTAAAAAAACAAAACAAAACAAAAAAACGTGCAGCAAATATATTTAGTAAAACCTACCTACATACATGCAAAGTTGTTTTAAATACAAAAACAGACCAAATTAAGTACAAGGGACATTTGCTCACACTTAATTTTACAGAATATTTCTTGAAATTTTAAGCAAACTTGGCTATTTTATTTTATTTTTTTCCATTTTTAAAAGCACACAGTGGTGTAGGATGTCAGAACCTTATTTCCGTTGGGTTAGTTGAACTTGTTATTGTTCAGTTCGCCCCGTGCGGTCGTCGAGGCTTGTCGGGTCTAGATCTTAGGCAGCTTAGGAGCGCTGATAAGAGGGTTGGTCTCCTGCAGAAACCGACGCCCAGCAGTCTTGTAGTCGTAAGTGCAGCTGTGTGTCTCGGCGTAACGGTGGGCGGCGCAGAAGTTGTGACCACACCTGAGATAAAATAGAAACTTTAATAATTAGGGCAAAAAGGAAAAAATAAAATTTTTATGTATTAATTTAAACTATTTTTTCCAAAATGTGACTAATTTCCTGTTTCTATTCTATACATTAATCCCTTCTTAGTGCAATAAATGCAATATCAATACTTCAAATATTAATATACAAACTAACACCAAGTTAAATACATTAACCAGGCTACAGGCTGGCATTCAGTGCATAATTAATGTTAAGATACATACTGTTTTGTACTGTTACAGATAAGATTTAATGTGAGCAAGGCCCAGAACAGTGAAGACATACAGTATGTACTCATGTCAAATGATGACGGAGGTTTTAAGTTAATAACTGGTTAGAGAACAAGAAGTAACATTTGATATGGCAGGAAGTCAAACTGAACAGGGGCAGAGCCACTTTGTACCAAAAGGCTTGCTTCAAGGACAACAACAACAAAAAAAAGAGATTTAAAGTTGGCCAGCGAGCTTGTTATCATGAACACAAATACTGTGTGTTTACCTGCACTCGTAGCTGGTGGCCAGCCCAGTCTTTTTGCCACAAAGGAAGCAGTGCTTTGAGCTTTTTTTCTTGGTGCCAGAGAGGGCTTTGACTGGAGGTAGGTGGTACGTTGGAGTGCCTGAAAGCAAAAGGTAACATTTTATCTACACAAGTCTGGGTAAAACAATACACATAAACAACTAAACCTCTTTGCTTGTGCACATTGCAATGAAACTCTAGCCAAACTGGTTGTAAATATACTTTGACACTTTTTATGAACATGCATTTTGCTTTAAACTGAACTAATTCAAGCTAAACATAAAAACCTTCCTGTCCCTTAAAAAATGGATACAACTTAAGTCTCCTTTCCCAAAATCAAGAAACAGGCTTATCGTTTTGTTTTTTGTGGTTCTGTTTTGCCTGTAACAATAATATCTGTGAAAGCAGGCAGCTACTCAGGTTTTTGCAGGCTGTAGAGATAAAACTGGCAGCTCTGAGATAAGTCCCGCAAGCAAGGTGAAATGTGGATAGCTTTTGGATTAAACTTTTGTTTTTCTGCCATTTTTGTTTATTACGATAAAAAATATATAAAAGATTTAACTATTGTCAAACCAAAATTTTTGTTCTACATTTTGTAGATCGCTCCCAGTCAAACAAGCTCCTCCTTCAAGGGATCTAATTTTATATATTTTCTGCACATACATTCACATTTGATGAATTCGATTTTACCTATAGCCCCAAATGAAGAAGTCACGACTCCCCCAGACGATGCAAGACAGTTGCTGGTCTGAAAAGAAAACAATGGAGATCATTTTACAGCCTATCAATACAAAAACGACACTTTCACATTGACACATCGTGAAAAAACAAATAGGGGCCATGATTATAATAACTGTTAAGTTAAAATAACAGTACATTAACAAGAGGAAAGTTCAGTAATTTCTGCATGTGTTACTGCTCACACTGTCCCAAATATTAAACGTTAAAGAACAGCTGTGTTGATTTGATATCAAAAACACCACAAAACAAGTCAGGCTTTTTAAAGGGATCCCTGATTAGTTGTAACATTAGACTTTATTTGATAAACATATATTTTAACTATAAAAATAAAGACTGTAAAAAACAGTTACTTCATGGAAGAAGAACCTCAGCTTAGCCTGTTAGCTTTAGCCACGACGCTATAAGCTCAGTGATACACATTCTCCTCTCATCACTGAGGTCCTCCATCCACATGACAGAAGGGAACGCAAAAATGACTCGGCCTATAATTGAAAATATGGATGGAGGACCTCAGTTGAGCTTGTTAGTTTGTCGCGCTAGCGCCGAGCTAATACATATAAGGCAATGTAGCGTCAGCGCTAGTACATAGGCTAACAGGCTAAGCTGAGGTGGTTCTTCCATGAAGCAGCTCTGTTGTCCTCCATCTATATTTTCAGTTCCAGGCTGAGTCATTTCTGCCCTCTCCTCTCTGTCAACGCTCTCTGGTTTCATTTAAAAGAGTCGATCATCAGATATTGTCAAAGATTAACCTTCAGGGTGGATATAGTTTGCTCACACCAATGACCTATCCACGTCATCATTTACCCAGAATGCTTTGCATATAAATAAAATGGCTCTGTCCGTGTTAAAATATATTTTTTAAAATTTACAAAACCAAACAGCCTACATTATTTTTACAGTCTTTATTTTACAGTTTAAATATATGTTTTTCAAATAAAGTCTAATAATACAACTAATTGGGGATCCTTTTAAAAAGCAGACATAAAAACCATACATTCAAAAATTAATTCTCAAATGTAGACATGGCAGCTGCTGCCTGCCTTTGTGCTCACCCTGTAAGATGGTACTGTTCGACGCAACGGTGACATTTGTCGGATGGGATCATCCTGAAGAAACTTATTAGGAGAAATGGATGGCAGCCTGGAGCCGAGGCTGCCCTGTCCTGAGGCAGAGGCAGCGGCAGCAGGAGGCAACGTCAGTGCAAATCCCAGACTCTCTCCAAGGCTGTCCCTGCTGCTGCTGTCTGGAGCTCTTGTGGAGAGAGAAGCCAAGAGCTCAGAGTTGTTCAGAGACCCCAGTGGCTCCTTACAGGCCTGGTTTACTATCTTCGTGATACCTCTCGCTTCTCTCTTACAGAGGAGCTCTGGTCGTTTACCTGGTGACTCCACTTTAACGCCTCGACGGCGTGTCTGATGAGACGACATGGTGGCTGGCGGGTGCGGGGATGTGCTGCCTGGCTTCACTGAGGATTGTGCTTGTAGGTTAGACAGTAAAAGTGGGGAATCAAAAGGCTGAGACAGCAGTCTGGTTGAAGCTGACGGGGAGGTGGACGCGGTTAATGGAGGAGGAGGGCTGATATGAACGGATGTGCCAAGCTGTGTTTCGTCAGCTCTGCTGGTGAGCGCATCACTTGTGCCAAGTGTCCAGGGACTTATTGGAGAGGGGGAGTGTGGCAGCTGGTGCTGAGCCCCGACATCAATGGGCTGACAACCCCCCTCATGCTGGATTGAAACATCAAGTCTTAGAGGGTCTGACAGTTCCCCGAATGATGCACCGGGCTGTGTTGGTGCCACGAGCCCTACAGGCTCTTCTAATAAACCCAGGCTGACCACCTCCCCTGAGGGCTCAGCTGTGTCAAAGGGGGCTTCAGGAGGGCCTCTGCTGTACAGTGGTGGAAGCTGAGGATAAACACAGTCTCTCATCAATTTACTACCTACGTCCATTCGAGACACTTTAGGGGGAGGGAGGATTTTTGCAAAGGGGGGATACGTCTCCCACGGTTCCTCCTCCTGAAGCATGTAGCAAGAAGGTGACAGGAACGAAGGAGACCGTCTCGGGATCATGAAATGGGAAGATGTTGACCCAGCGGGGGGAGGAGAAGGGTCTATAGATTCATTGTCTACAATCGGAGGTAGTGGAGCGCTCGTCTGCCAGGGCTGGTTGATCTGTGAGAGGGAGCGGAAGAGGCGGTGATGGTGCCGTGTGCTGGAAGGTCCAAAGAAGCTGCTGCTGGGATGTGGGCTAACAGGAGCCCAGGGCTTCGCCTTCGCAGTCTTCTGCAAGACAGATTGAGAACAGCACAAATGAACCAACTAAAAAGACATTTCACTTACAAACTATAAATTAAAAAAAAATTGTACAAAAGCAAAGCAAGTAAAAATATTCTACGGAGGCAGTATTGTATAAAGTACAAGTATCTTAACAAAAATTACCTTGGTAAAAGTTAAAGTTTCCTTTAGGAATATTACTTGAGTAAAAGTCTTAAAGTATCTGATATTTTTTGTACTTGAGTATTAAAAATAAAAGTATTGATTCAAAATGAGCAGTTAGATTTTCTATAAGGACATTTATTAGGAGGTGAACTCCCCCCCAAAACAGCAGAAATGACTATATTGTATTAAAATAATTAATTTATGTTAAATTTAGGATGCACTAGTCCAGCTGTTTCAGTTTATATACATATAAAGGCTGCCCAAACAGTTTCCCCAAAATGAAAATCTATCTGAGGGCTGCAGCCAAACGCAATAATATAATTCATAAAATACAAATACTTGTTAAGTACAGTCCTTTTATTTGAATGATTATGTCCTGCTGGAGTGTGACATGATTTGTCTGTGTACAAACTAATAYGGTATCAGAATTTTATATATTTATACTTCTCATTCAACCACAATTAAATCCACTCTATCTAGGAGGCACAGTTTAAATGGAWAGTATTTTTTATAATAAGCTGGAATGAAAACAAGCAAAAATGAAATAAAACTTCTTGTCTTTATCAATGTAAGGAGTAGAAGTAAAAAGTAGACTGAAAAATAATTACTCAAGTAAAGTACAGATACCCAAAAATTCTACTTAAGTACAGTAACAAAGTATTTGTACTTAGTTACTTTACAACCCTGTACGGAGGTCATACAGTAAATTTTGGGGCACCTTTTTGTTGAGGTTCATGTCCTCCATCTTGGCTTTGAGAAGCTTCATTTTGGTCATGGTGATGGAGTTCTCAAGGTTCTGCTGTGCAGCTGCAGAACTGTCTCCGTCCTCCTCTGCATACGCATTGTGCACCGAGCTGCCACTGAAAAATCGCGACAACCAAAAACATCTATTTCGTCCCACGGTGTGTGAATAAGCTCATTTCAAAGCCTTCTGGTAGTCTTCACATTTCAATTATACGTTTCCTTCTCCTGTTTGATTCGTGCATGGTTTAAATGTTACGGAGAAACGAAAACTGCAGTAAAACATGTTTAATATACAAACCTCAAAGATTCAGATAGAGGGGTTAAGGTACCATCCCCTCTGTCAACCACTCGGAAGAAGTTTAACTGGTCACCCTCTCGATAAACCACAAAAGTGACCTGCTTATTGGTCAGACTTTTCTCCCAACTGTCCTCCTTTGTGCTCTCCATGAGGTCAGCCACTTCCTTGATAGGATCCTCCAAAGTAACTGACGAAGAGATGACATTTTGCCATTAGAAGCAAGAAACAGCTTAATTTATGGGGTTCGTTAATAAAAATAATGCATTTATATATTATAAAAACATAAATATGGCTCTTTGGTATGCTTCTTACCCCTTCTGGTGTTAATTGGACCTCCCCTCATGGCTAAGACAAGTTTTAATGTGCAGCCCTCAGCAATGCTGCAAACACACAATGAATACTTAATGCAACACGAGATATAAATAACAATACAGAGCATAAAGTGAGAACAGAAAGCAGCATTTATTTTATGAGTGTAAGATGTTTCAGCTGTTATCCAAAGTAAGCATGTCAAGGGATAGTATCACATCCAGAAGAACTTGAGTACAGGACTGAAAATTTCTCTGGAACACGAGCAGATGCTTCACTGCTCCTCTCCCCCTCCTCCGGTCCTAAAACTTCAAAAAGCATGTGGCAGTGTGATAGAAGGGATTGGTGAGATCTCTCAAGAGGCTTTTCGTGTGAAAAACTAAGTGACAAAAATTCATAACAATACCACCATCTGCAGCCAGCAGAGCACTGGAGGGCGAATTCTGCAGCTCAGAAAAAAAAAAAAAAAAAAGACGAGAGGAAGAGCAAGCACTCTAAATGTGACCAGTGTGTTTCTTGTCTCGCAGCGCTCTACAACATGTAATCAGAGTCACTTCCTCCGTGACAGCAAGTTCAAATGTGTGATTTTGAACGGCAGGATGTGGCGGGAGGAATGAATTTACCCATAATCATGTAGACAGTGATCATCATCCAACTCTACGTTGTTCCAGATAAGATGCTGCTGGGCAACAGGAATACCTTTGCACAGTCGGGGAGAGGGTAGGAGAGAAAACAACCCAAGTTCACAAGGACAGGTTCATATTTCATTCACTACATTTACTAATCTGACACGAAAAATGGTATCCATACATCACGATAAATGATTCATGCCTGCCCCCTAAAGACTAAACTACACATAGGTTCAAAAAGTGCCAATTTCACACCAGATGCATTGGCAGCTAATTTTTATATTATATTATATTATATCTCTTGTTTTTGCAGCTCTGTTGAAGGTGTAAACAGAACCAGAAGAAGAAGAAATCAATTGAACAGCTCAGTGTCACAAGAACAGGACCTGGAAACAGACCAGGAGGAAGCAGAGAACAACATGGACTCCTGCAACGACACAGAGTTTGACCCAAACTTTGATCAGAGTACTAATAAAAAGAGAAAAGAAAAGTCTACAAAGAGGACAGAGAAGACAGAGAGAAGTAGAGTGTCTTGTAAAGTGTGTGGAACCTGGTACTTTAAGCTGGGATCTTTGATCAAACATGTTTGGACTCACGTTGACAAGAAGCAGGATGTTTGTGGCATCTGTGGAGAGAAATCTGAATCTGAGGAAAAGTTAAAGGAACATATCAATAAACACCAAGAGGTTCACAGATGTTCTGACTGTGGGAAGACTTTGGTCCATGAAATTAGTCTGAAGAGACACATGATGAAACATACAGGTCAGTTTAAATGTAATATTTGTTACAAAACCTTCACTCTGAAGTCCTATCTGGCTGCTCACCGATGGGTTCATGAGGAAAATAAACCTCATAAATGTGATGTTTGTATGAAAACATTTGGTGTGGAGTTACGTCTTAAAACTCACATGAAGATCCACACCAAGGAGAACAAATACATCTGTGACATCTGTGAGAGATGTTTTGACGATCGCAAAATTCTGGCCTGCCACCGAGCTGTCCACTTTGAGGAACGGCGCTTTGTCTGTAAAGTCTGTGGGAAACGGTTTAAATTCAGTAGTTCGCTGGGGCCTCACATGAAGACCCACACAATCAGAGATCGGTCTTTTCTCTGCCACATCTGCTCAAAGTCCTTCAGATTAAAATCAGCATTATTAAGGCATCTGAAGATCCACGATGGAGAGAAACCATATGGCTGTGATGTGTGCGGTAAAAGTTTTATGTTAAATGGACACCTGAAAACACACATGGTGGTCCACAGCAGTGAGACACCGTACAAATGCTCCGAGTGTGGACGCCTCTTCAAACACAAGAAGGATCTGAAACGTCACATGTTCCTCCACTCAGGAGTCAAAAACTTTGTCTGTGGGGTCTGTGGGAAAGCCTGCTCTCGACAGGAATACCTGAAGGTCCACATGAGGACCCACAATGGAGAGAAACCCTTCAAGTGCACCCTCTGTGACAAAGCCTTCACCCAGAGCCACTGTCTGAAGACACACATGAAGAGCCACCAGACCAAAGATAACCCGGTCCCTGCTACCC